CCGTCTTATTTGACCTTCAATCTTTCCCAGCATCAGGGTCTTCTCCAGTGAGTGCTCCCTTCTCATTTGGTGGCCAAAGTATTTGAGCTTCAGCTTCAGTATCTGGCCTTCCAGGGAACAGTCAGGGTTGATTTCTTTTAGGGCTGATTGATTTGATCTTCTTGCAGTCCAAGGAACTCTCAAGAGTCTTCTCCAGCACCATAATTCAAAAGAATCTATTATTTGGCGCTCGGCGTTCCTTATAGTCCAACTCTGTATAATACTATTAGATCATTCAGTTCTTCAGTTTTAAGAGGTACAATGCAAACCATGCTGTGTGATCTTGGGAGATGTGCATTGCAAAATGTTGAAGTCCTTAAAAGAGTTCTGAGAAGATAGCTGTTTACAGTTCCTGTTGCTCAAAGAGAAGATTCACATTATAGTTAATGGAGTCCATGTGCCGAAAGTTCTTGAATGCTTTGCAAAGTCAAACAAAACAATATTTTAGGGTTTGGCAGTTAAAATGCGATCCCTTTACAACAACAAAAAATTATGTCTGTCAACCAAGCTGAAAGTACTTCCAATATGAGAGAGAGAGAAATAAGTTTGTCCAGATGATGTTTTGATCATCTAACTGCATAGTTTAGCTATTGGAAAGCAGTTGCTGACCCTACACATAGATTCAGGTGGGTAGCCGTGTTGGTCTGAAGCAGCAGAACAAAGTTTGAGTCCAGTGGCACCTTTAAGACCAACAAAGTTTTATTCAAGGTATAAGATTTCGTGTGCAAGCACACTTCTTCAGATACAGTGAAACAGAATTTCCTCAACCATTACATATAGGAAGGGGGGGTTAGTTGCCAGGAAGCGCTAGTTAGAGTCAAGATGCACAAGTAACGGGGTGAGTACAGCTGAAACTAGATTAAGGCGGTTGTTAGAATCTGTGAATGGCAGTAAAGGTAAAGGTTCCCTTGCTCGAAAGCCAGTCGAGTCCGACTCTAGGGTTGCGGTGCTCATCTCCGTTTCAAAGCCGAAGAGCTGTCCGAAGACGTTTCCGTCTTCCAAGGCGCACGGAACGCTGTTACCTTCCCACCAAAGTGGTACCTATTTATCTCCTTGCAATTTCTTGCTTTCGAACTGCTAGGTTGGCAGGAGCTGGAACTAGAGACGGGAGCTCACTCCGTCATGCAGCAACTCGGGTCTCGAACTGCTGAACTACTGACCTTCCCCAGCCTGCAGTTCAGCGTCTTAACCACTTGAGCCACCACAGCTCCTTGAATGGCAGTAAACTGGCATACAAATACAAGAGTTAACAGATGTGTCCAGCAGCACCTTCAAGTTTTGAGTCCAGCGGCACCTTCAAGACCAACAAAGTTGGGGGCGTGGCCAAGCGAGCTTTGTGGATGGACGCGTTTTAACTCGGCTCTGCTCCTTCTCCCGCCCTTAAATGCAATCTTCTCCTTCAAAACTGAATTAAACACATCATAAAACAAAATGGGAAGAAACCTTAACGCCAGGACAAAAAAAACGACGCTCACGCCGACTCCAATGACTAAATTCTTTACGAAAGAAGACGACAATTCCGGAGCCGGACGGGGCCCAAAAGTAACCCCTAAAATGGCCGCCGCGCCTCCGTCAGAAGACGACGGAACGGTCCTCTCCCGGTTTGAATTTCTTCAAACTATCCAGAAATTGGAAGAAAATATAGCAGATCAAGTACACCGGGCCATTAAACCTCTAGCAGACGACTTTCAATCGCTAAAAGAAACCCTTGCAGAAGTCTCACAAGCAGCGGAAACGGCTCTTGAAACCGCCATTACATCACAACAAGAAGTCCAAGACCTGCAGAAATCTGAGGTATGGGCCCGAAATAAAATCATGATGATAGAAAATAAATTAAAAGAACAAAATCTTAAATTTAGGGGCCTGCCTGAACAAGAGGAAGGCGGGACAGAACTACAAGTATTTTTAGCTTCGTGGCTGGCTAAAACTTTGGCGTTAGAGGAAGATATAGCCCCATATATTAATGCAGCATACCGCCTGGGCCCGTTTAATAAACGCGCGGAAAAATACCCAAGGGACATAATTGCAATTTTTCCGGACTACAGAACCAGAAACGCTATTTTGCGCAAGTCCCGTCTAGATGGTGGTCTGACATACAAGAAAGGAAAGGTACTTGTGATGCAGGACCTTTCCACGGAAACTCTTCAACACAGACGCAATTTAAAACCCATTACACAAAAATTGTTGAACCACAAGTTTAAGTACCGATGGTCTTCCGCGACAGAAATCACTGTCATTCATCAAGGTCGACGACACACAGCTGTAGACTTAGACAGTGGCTATCAGCTCTTACAAGACCTTGAGATCCCCTTTGAAGCTCCGGAACAGGCGCCGAACACAGAGCAGACTGCCTCGGAATTAGAAGAATTCCAACTATGGCTTCGTGAGAAGAAAAACAAAAATCATCACTCTTAAATGTTCTTCATACTTGGATTCTGAGTTAGAACGGTTTAATCTGACAAAGTCTCCATTTCGGAAGACAGATAACGTCACTTCAACCTTCGAGTCGGGACGTTCCAGAACGCCACTCATTTCGGCAACAAAGCCACTAGAGGACCAAGCGCACCAGGCAGCTGAGGCATCTTACTGCAGATTCTTTGCAAGTCGTTACGTGCCTCCAACGTTTGCCTCATCCGTTGACTTTGTACAGTAATAAAAGAAACATACAAAAATTTTTAATAATGGTTTATAAAGTTCAAGGTAAAACGCTAGTTGGCTCAGATAACATATTGTATGGACCTCATAATTAATATTAGGTCCATAAGACGCCGTAGTCAACTTTAGTTTAATCTGAAGGCAAGAGTTACTGTTGTTCATAACACCTCTTAAAGGTGACCAATACTATTGACTTGCAAGTTTAAAAGGTGAAGTTAACCTATTTCAGTTATATGTTTTGACTTTAAGGAATGAACAGTTAATCACAGGCACTTATATTTTCTTTCTCCATTAATATTGTTATTTTAAATTATATTGCCTGGATTAATTATAAATAAGCAACATTAGAAGCGTAAAGCTAACTCATTTAAGTTTTTAAAAATATTAGTTTGGGCAATCATTATGGTGAAGTCAACCAACTTCAGTTATATATAATAAGCTAAGACTGGGGTAATTAATCACTCTTGTCTATTACTGGTATAATTTCATTTATTAATGTTAGATTTGATTATATTTTTATAAATTTAAAAGGGTGAAGTCAACCTACCTAAGTTCTTATAGTATTACTTTAAATATTTTTTAATGGTGAAGTTCACCTATTTCGGTTGTATTTTTAATCTATTTTAATTCTGAATTTATTTATAGAGGAATATTTAATTTAATTCATTTATTGAATAGTCTATTAAGATAAACCCACTTTTTACTCCCGAATTGGAGTTTATACCAAAATGACCACTAAAGGTCTACCTCACCTGGTAGCGTTTTAATTATACCATTTTTTAGTGTAATTATTTTTTTTTCATTTAAATAATGTAATCTCAAACTATATTGCTTGTCTAATTTTTATTCAATACAGATCACATTAATATGATTCTGGAAGGGTGAGGTTAACCTACTTCTGTTTTTAAAATATTATATTAAGTATTTTGAACGGTGGTGTCCGCTTTTCTCAGTTGAATTTTTCCTTTTTTATTTTTTTAATGTTCCCATTTTTCCCCAATTTATTTCTAGTATTAAATTTTTAACTTTAAACCGCATATATTCAATTTCAATCACACAGCATTTAATGTATTAAGTATACAGATTATATGAAAAATTGTTAGGAAGGAGAAGAAATATTTTTATATATATATATATATACACAGGCGGGAGGAGGTAGGAGGGTATTTAATTGCCTCCCCCCCTACATTAGCTAAGTATAGCGGGTCGTGGAAGACACGGCCCACTGACTGTAGCCCCTTTTATTGGGGTGCTAGCTAATTTTTTGTATATCCTCCATTGTGAGGAACACAGTTATGGTTTTTATTAAGGTTTTTTGTTCCAGTTTAAAGTGTTACAAGTTACTGTTACAAATATTATTGATGGTCCCAGCCAATGTTAATAATAAGTTATTTGTGGACACAAAAGCAGATGCTAAAACAGGGAGGAAAACTGACGCTGATACTGACATAAACACACATAGTTACGACCTCTTGAAACATTTAAACACATTAAAGAATGGATAACTTAATAAAGGTCTATTCCCTGAATTGCAGGGGACTAAAACACAGAATTAAGGTAAAGAAACTTTCTACAGCTCTTACAAAAATGCACCCTGACATATTGTTTCTACAAGAAACTCATGTTAAAAATCCCGGTTATCCTCTCTTAAGATCTAAATGGTTTACAACATCTTATCAATCAACAGGAACTTCAAAATCTCGGGGTGTAGCAGTATTAATTTCCAAAAATGTTCACTTTCATTTTCAAGAAGAGTTAGTAGATAGTAATGGTAGATTTATTTTCATAAAAGGGAAAATGAACAACCAGTTGTTAACTCTGGCGTCAATTTACGCCCCAAATGAGGGTCAAGAAAAATTTATAGCAGAAACCTTAGAGTTATTAAAAAATTTTCAAGAAGGTCACACTATTATCGGCGGAGACTTCAATTTTACTCCTGATGGGTTTTGGGATAAATCCCACCAGGCCCCACAATTTACAATAAAGGCAAAAACAACCACCTGGCTCCATGACTTAATTACGTCACAATGTCTAGTCGATGTGTGGAGGCATTATAACCCTGGAGTCAGGGACTATACTTACTATTCCCCAAGGCACAAAGCATACTCTAGAATCGATTTAATTTTAGTTTCTAGTTCAATGTATGACCGAGTTCAACACGTAGATATCGGCCTTAGAACACTCTCGGATCATGCATGGATTGAATGCAGCATCAATTTCCATACAACCACGGAAAAAACACGCACATGGTCTTTAAACAACAATATTTTATTAAACCAATTGAATTGTCAGGAAATAGAGCATGCTTTAAAAGAATATTTTGAGTTCAATTCATCTTGTTCAGTTCCAGCCCCATTGGTTTGGGACGCTATGAAATCGGTTCTCCGTGGTAAAATCATTTCTATCTCGGCAGCCTACAAAAAGAAAAGAAATATATTACAATCAGAAATACAAACAGAAATTAAACATTTGGAAGAACAACATAAAAAAACTGGCTCTAAAAAAATTTATAAACGCCTGATTTTACAAAGAAAAAAATTGGACTCCATAGAAACTAATAGAATCCAGAACCAATTATTGTATGTTAAACAAAAATATTGGTTCCGCCATCCGAAGTCGTTGAAATTATTAGCTTGGAAATTAAAAAAACAACAAGCGTCAAAAAGCATTTATTCTATAAAAGATAGAAGTGGTCAGATCCACACAAAACCCAATGAAATTTTAGACATATTCAAAGATTTTTACCAAAATCTTTATAAATCAGATAACCCTCAAGTAAACCTCATTGATAACTATTTAAATCGGAATAATTTGATACAAAAAATATTACCAATTCACAGAGAAATCATGGAAAACGACATCACGGCAGAAGAAGTCATCAAGGCCATTAAACATTTAAAATTAAATAAAGCACCAGGTCGGGACGGTTTTACGGCTGAATTTTATAAGAAATTCGTTACAATATTAACTCCACACTTTCAAGAGATTTGTAATAACACAATGAAAACCGGAGAAATGCCGCCGTCCTGGACTCAGGCCAAAATAATTGTACTTCCTAAAAAAGGACGAGATAACCTACTCCCTCAATCATACCGGCCCATATCTCTTTTAAATTCTGATTATAAATTATTTACGACTATATTAACGACCAGACTCAATAGCTTTATTGGAAATTATGTTCATTTAAATCAGACAGGATTCATTCCCAATCGGGACATAACGGACAATATCCGAAAGACTTTAGGTGTTATACAATTTTGCAAAAAATATCTCTCTGAAACCAGCCTTCTCTCTTTGGACATAGAGAAGGCATTTGACAAAGTGGAACCAAATTTTTTACATTCAGTAATACGTCACATGGGTTTCGGTCCAAAATTTAAAAAAACAATAGAAGCCTTATATTCCGGTCCTATAGCGCAAATACTGATTAATAACATTTCATCCCGAGATTTTAGGTTGTCACGAGGTACGCGTCAAGGCTGTCCTCTGTCGCCCTTACTTTTTGCTCTAGCAATAGAGCCTTTGGCCAATAATATTCGACAAGATCAACGTATAACTGGAATCCACATAAACAAATCAATATTCAAAATCAGTCTTTTTGCAGACGACTTTGTTTTATATATATCAAACCCCTATACTACTCTCCCCCAGGTAGAACTAAAATTAAAAGAATATGCAACTATATCAGGATTGAGTGTAAACCAGTCAAAAACATTGTTTTACCCAATCAACATATCTGATAGGACGAAATCTTATATTATAAACAAGTATTCATATACATGGGTTACGACGGACTGGACATATCTGGGTATCAAAATACCAATTCACTTACAGGACATATTTAGGATCAATTATTTAACTCTAGTAGACAAAACAAATCATCTTTTTGATCAATGGAAGAAAGACAATTTAACATGGATGGAACGTATTCTTACGGTCAAATCAACAATATTCCCCAAATTTTTATACCTTTTTCGAGCTTTACCAATTACTATTCGTCCGTCATATTTTAACTCATGGCAAAATGCTTGGAAAAAATTTATTTGGAATAATTGCAAGCCAAGAATTTCTTACGTTACCCTTCAACGTCCAGCTACATTGGGAGGCTTAGCCATCCCACACTTAAAAAAGTATTACGAGGCAGCCATACTCACAAACGTAGCCCGAATACATACAGTCGACCCAAAACCAGAATGGACTCATATCGAAGAACACTATATAGAATCCACAAATTATATTTCAGCTCTGTGGCAAAAAAGCTCAGGTCGTTCTAAACTTATTTTAGAGCATAATTTAGCACAGGCTTTATTTAGGGTATGGAATGCTAAACGTTACACATTGACATCTAAACTATCAATGGCATCCACGTTTATAGAACAAGACTGGTTCCCCCCTGCAAGAACAGCCAACTCTTACCGAGCATGGAAAACAGCTAAAATCATTACATTATACGACCTTGTCGATAAACAACACCTGAAAGACAAAACAAAATTAGACACACTAGCACAAACAAGATTACCATGGTTTGAATACCTGCAAATAAAGCATTTATTTGATTCCCCAGAACTACAAGAGGCATGTGCAAGACCTTATAAACTTTTTGAAAAACTTCTACTTACACCCAGTGTAAAGGGGAAAGGTTTGCTCTCGAAAATATATAAAATATTGATAGACCCCGGACCCAAAGTATTACCCTCCTATGTAAAGGCATGGGAAAGAGACTTAGCGCTACAATTACCGGAAACTTTCTGGGAATCTGTATGGAATTCCTATGCAATGAAATCAAAGACTATAAACATACAGCAACAAAGCTTTAAATTAATTACACGATGGTATTGTACACCATTAAAAATGCACAAAATTAACAAAGTAAATTCGCCACTTTGCTGGAGGGGATGCGGAGAAACCGGTACCTATTATCACTGCTGGTGGGAATGCTATACTGTACAAGTGTTTTGGAACAAAGTTATTCACCATATTGAAAATCTTACAACCTATTCTATCCCAAGAAAACCAGAGATTCTACTACTACATAGTTGGCAAAACATTTCTATCCCATTATACACCAAAGAATTGATTACAATTTTGATAGCAGCAGCACAAACAACAATTGCTCATACCTGGAAGAGTAGTAAGTCAATACCAATTAAATTATGGTATTCCAAGATATGGGAACATCTCCTTATGGACAAAATTTCAGAAAGACTAACTGGGTCAGAAGATTATACTAGATCTCTGGATTTCTTTGGTAGATGGCGCCCCATTATGGAAAACCTGGAATTTATTCTAGAAAATATAAAAACGACACAAAAATCACAGTATTATGCGTTCATACAAAAAGAATGGGCATGGTAATTGGTATTGAAGAAACATGTTTGTTATAATTAGATTAGAGACAACGTTATATAAATATTTTGGATTGGACATTTTTTAGCTTCTTATATATGGAATTTGTAACAGTTTTAGTTATTGTTAGTGTTAAAAAGTTATTGTTAATTGTTATTGTGGAAATTTAATAAAAATATATTTAAAAAAAAAAAAAAAAAAAAAGACAGTCAGTGGTTATATATATAAACAAAGATTCCCCATGCACAGAAAGCTTTCTGGACTGGCCCAAATAGATCACGGAAGGCAAAGCCTTCTCTGGATCTCTGAGAGTCAGTGCTGAAATGAAGCTCCTGGCCTTTTTTTATACCATTTTGGTCCCATACATTTCGATAAAGCCATAGATATGAATGCTATATGTTAGTCATTAGAGCCAATAAATAAACATTTGCAAATATATGGATGACAAGCATACAGGTTGAGCAGGTGGGGAGCAAGCAAGGCAGATCCCAAAGCAACACCAGATGTAAACAGCTGCACCTGCATCATCACAGCCTTAGAAGACAGCTTTTTGTCATCCAGCATCAAAAACTTTAAAGTTGTTTTCTCCAAGAGGAACCTGATGTGCCAAATAACATGGAGCGGAGCTGCTGGCGAAAATGGCAACACCATGTTGAGTCCCCCTTCTGGAGCTGCTGCAACATCAGTAACATCAGATCTGGGTGTTGTGCATTTTCACACCTTGCTCCGTATCATTAGGTGTGTCACACCATTATGTTCCCATCACATTACCCTGGGTTGTCATTCCCAGTAGAAGTCCTACATGGCCTCCTGGTTTTTCTCTAACCATCTTCAAACTGCACAAAACTTTCCTTTCAGCACCTGCACACTCAGGCTGTGGTCACACAGTCATTTTGATCGGGTTTCACTGCTGTTCCCTCTTGCAGTGTGTCACACCATTATGTTCCCATCACTACATTACCCTGGGCTGTCATTCCCAGTAGAAGTCCTACATGGCCTCCTGTTTTTTCTCTAACCATCTTCAAACTGCACAAAACTTTCCTTTCAGCACCTGCACACTCAGGCTGTGGTCACACAGTCGTTTTGATCGGGTTTCACTGCTGTTCCCTCTTGCATTTAAAATTGCTGATCAAACGCCCAAATCCATCTCCCGCACCAAAGTGGGCTCACTCACGCGATCATCCCTGTTCCCTGGCGAGTTTTCTGACACCGGGAAAATCAAGTACTTTCTGGGTGTTTGCACTTTGAATCCGCAATTTCGCCAATCTGGACTGCCATCTCTCACAATGATCGCAATTAGGTTGTCTGACCTTTGTGTGATGAGGGTTCCCCCCCGCTTCCACCTTTGTGCACATGAGCAATCCTGCGCTGAATAAATTCAATGTTTAAAAGTTCAAGCGCACATATAATACGTCGCCGGTTCATTTTTTTCGCTGTTTTTTTTGGGGGGGGGGTACTGTAAAAAAAAAGGGAGTACAGCGAGTTCAAGTGGGGGCGTTGATTCAGCCGTGTGTATATGCACACGTGCAATTAAAAAAAGAAACTTCAAACTGCACTGCCCAAGCAGCGGTGCAGCTATCTAGACGGTGCCCAGAGCCTTGTCGTGCAATGCTTGCGGTTTGGGGAGGGTTGCGTGATCATCCCAACCCCCCCCCAAATATTCTCAATCAAATCTATAGCGGGAACAAATGGCAATAAGCTTGCCATGTGACCACAGCCTAAAAGTGGTGTATATGTGCACGCGCAATTAAAAAAAGAAACCTCAGACTGCACTGCCCAAGCAGCGGTGCAGCTATCTAGAAGGTGCCCAGAGCCATGTCGTGCAATGCCTGCGGTTTGGGGAGGAATGCATCATCATCCCAACCCCCCAAAAAATATTCTCAATCAAATCTATAGCGGGAACAAATCGCAATAAGCTTGCCATGTGACCACAGCCTAAAAGTGGTAGACGTGGCTTCAGATAAATGTGGTTGTGATGCACCATTGGTGAATAGCCAGTGTATATTTAATAGCCACAATCAGCTAGCAGGCTACCTAGGAACAAAAGGTGCCCTTTTTCACTTGGCACAACAGAATACCAGGGCCCATGACAATATGTACATATTACAGCCTTTCCTGACAAATGCCTGCTGAGTACAGAATATCATGTTACAATTGTTCTTAGGACTCATCTTCCAAATTCACATAAGGCTTCCAGGACCAGACAGAGGGACCAGAGAGGGGCTGTGGCTGGCGGGTAGAATATCTGCTTGGCATGCAGAAGGTCTCAGGTTCTATCCCCAGCACGACCAGTTAAGAGATCAGGCAGCAGGTGATGTGGAAGACCTCCCACCCAAGTACTAACCAGGGCCGACCCTGCTTACCTGCAGAGATCAGACAAGATCCGGCTGTACCCTGCTGCCTTCCCTCTCGACCAGGCAATAGGTGAGGTGAAAGACCCTGAAGCGCCACTGCCAGTCCCAGGAGACAATTCTGACCTTGGTGGACCAAAGGTCTGATTCAGTGTATCATCATCATCAAACCTTGGCTGAACTTGCAACTCACTCATTTTTAGATTTACATTCTTCTCTTCTAGGACTCAAGGCAGTGTGCAGCATGGCAACCCAACTGCAAGGCATACATTAACTTTTAAACAGATTGTGTAAAGCACAATAGATCCTCCTTGAAGTGCTGTGGACCCTAGACTTGAAATGTCTTCATTCTTCTTTCCTGTGCCCTGACTAGTCCCTATTAGCTGCCAGGGTTTCATCTGAGCTAGGGCTCAGCAGAAACCTTTGCACAGTGTCTGGCCCTCTTACCCCACTCATTAAACAGCCCCCTCTCCACTTGTGTGATGTGACCTGCAGGCAGTGCCCTAGCACAGTTTAGGTATGAGGGATTAACTCCTAGGTGTTTGACCACTGTCAAAAGTGAATACAAGGCTGCATACTTAAGGACTCTGCCTTGAGAGTAGGTTCCACTGGATTCCATAAGCAGCCAGTCAGACGGCTTTGCAAGCTGGGTGAGGCATTAGGGCTGCCGGCTCTGGGTTGAGAAATACTTGGGAGATTTTTGGGGGTGGAGCCTGAGGGGCAGGGTTTGGGAAGGGACTTCCAAGGCGGCCATTTTCTTCAGGTGAACTGATCTCTCACCTGGAGATCAACTGTAATAATGGGAGGTCTCCAGCTACCACCTGGAGGTTACAAAAGTAGAGAGAGAAATGACAAAAATTACAAATTATATAAACAATTAAATTATGTAATGGAATTAATATCTGTTTCTATGTACCAAAAATTCAACCAATTGAGATATTAATTGCATTACATCAATTTAATTGTTTATATAATATAAATTTAATGGTTTATAACATCTTCTTAAAATGTTTTTAAATATTCATGTTTGAATGCTAATATTGAATTTTTACGGCTCTAATTGGTTTTACAATGTAATTGGGTTTATAATGTATTGGATTTCTGGTGTAAATTGCCAGGGAAGGATGGTCAAGAAATCGAAATAAATGAATGTAATTTTTGTTGTAAACTGCCCTGAGCCCTGCATAAGCAGGGAAGGGTGGTCATGACCACTTAGAGATTTTAATTATTATTTATTATGCATTGATATAGTGCGGCTTGAGTGTTCAAAAGACGCACGCTCCAATTATAATCCTTGAACAACCACCCTGCACTGTAGGCCGATTGTGACCAGGGAGGGGGTGAGGCCGAAGGGACAGCGGCTGGCCTCCAAGCACACAACCAACTTGTGGCGGAGGCCAGCCTTGAAAGATCCCAAGGAGCCAGCTCCCAGTCCAGGGGGAAAGGCGGTGCAGTCCCACACACTAAATAATCCACTTCCAAGGGGTTTTGCCAGTTCACACGGGCCACTTCCGCACTGTCATTTTTGTCACTTGTTTGCCCCTGTTGTCCCAGAGGGAGCAAAAGACATGTGGAAGGGGGACAAACAAGTGGCAAAAATTACAGTGCGGAAGTGGCCACTGTAAAACCCAGTTGGAGAGGGCACTGAAAGTGGATTATTGAGTCCGTGTGACTGCAGCCTATAACTTGCCACCAAGGCCTCTCTCAGCCGGGGAGCGACGGCCAGGGCCCCCGACACGCGTCGCACTCAACACCAAACGTGTGAATCGGCCCTCACGGTTAGCCGCAGAACCGGCTAAGCTCCGGCAGCGGTGAGGCGCGTAATCCCGCGCGAGGCGGCCAGGAAGGGGGACCAGTGCCTTCCCTTGTGTTGCCGCCAGCTCGGCTGCTTCCTCCCGAGAAGCGCTCGGGCACAGGGCCGGGCACCATTCAGCTGCGCCTCGTTGCCGCGCAGCTTTCCCTCCTCCCTCCCTCCCTTCCTTGCCTGCCTGCCTGGAGCCAGGCCGCGCGTTCACCTGGAGGGAGCCGCAGCTGCTCTGCCTCCTTTGTGCGGCGGCGGCGGCGGTGGCGGCCCCGGCTGCCTGCGTCCCCGAAAGTAGATCCGACATTCCCAGGTCCAGGAGTGTTCTGCAGCCGAGGGCCTGATCACTGTATCGCCCCCCACCCCCAAACCCCCCCCCCACAGATTGAGAGAGCCGAAGAA